ACTGCGCCGCGGGGAAGGGCTTGATGATTCGAACAGAGGCAGAGTCCAGGCTGCTGAGCATCTCCACGTTCTGCAAGACACCAGCAGCCACCACGTCAGTGGGAGATGCAACCAGGATTAGTCCAGGGTTCAGTTTTTGCACTGTTTGAAAGAGCTGTTCAGAGGCCACCACGTCCTCCCCTCCCAGCAGAGACCCTGCCTGCCCTCACGCCGGCACAGGCCACCCTGTGCTAGCCAGGCTGAACCCACTGCACCGCCTTGGAAAAGGGGGTCGGTTTTGGATTTTACAGTAGACTTACGCTTACTTAAGAACAAGGGAACATGCAACAGAAGTAATTTGTTGTGTTGGCTTTTCCTCAAGAAGTACTAAAGGCAGAAAGGCCTTTTTATCTCTGCTTGTTCCTTCTCCATAAAAAGCACCACAGGTGACAGCCTCACTGGGACAGAGCTGACACCTCGGCCCCACCTCCCCTGGGGCCCAACACTGCTTTGGCAAAACCTAGGGCTGAAAGGCAGGCTCAAGCCAGATGACACAGAGGGTGTCATCAGTGCAGGGAAACAGAGGTACAGCTCCTTCCACTCTTCCAACCTGAAGAGTTCCCCGTTTCCCATGCAAGAAGTTGCACTGAATGCAGGGTCAAAGGCCAGAGGGGGACCACGGTGATCATGCCCAAATTCCGCAACCCAGATTAAGGTAAAGCCCATTGGTTTCTGCTTCTATTCGAGCATGGTTTGAAAAATACTGAGATTAGTGGGGGGTAAAAAAATCCCCACAAACCTTAGCAAATGCTAATACTGGGCAGGATGAGATGTTCACCTGCTACCAGTACTGCATTTCCCAACCGCTCAATCCTCAGCAGATCCAAAAGACACGAGATTTGTTTGTTAAACTGTTGCTGGTACAAGGAGCCCATTAACTGTACCCACACACTATTGCTACACCTGCTTCTGGGATTTTCTTGATTGAATTCAGGTATAAAGCTCTAAGGTGACTTTTCTTATGGCACTGAAGACCAGCTATGGAGGACTCGAACTAAGATCGCCTTCAGTTACATCAGAGTAGGCGACAGAGGCAATCTGCCTCAGTGGTCTTTGACTTCAGTATGCTTCCCCCAGCGCTCGTACAGGAGCTCTGCAAGGCTTTTTTTCCCCCTCCTGTTACAAAACAGCACTTCCTTAACTGCATGTTTCAGTTATCAGTAAGAACCGGGTTGTCAAAGCACTGGACGGGCCACCCAGAAAATCTATGTCAGAACGTGCCCTGTGCTGGACTGGAATTAAAATTTATCTAGGTGCTTTTTTGCTCTTCTCTCCCAGCTCAGTATCCACAAGGTGAGAAAAGTCACCGACAGGTCCCTGCACCCTGAGGTCAGCCCTCCCACAAGCAACTGGAAGGCTTTAGCACACCTTCCTCTAGGAAGCTGACTCTTGCAAACAGCCATTCTGCAAAGACACCACATTTTGCAGAGATTTTTCTGCAGCATCGCCCCGCTGAGCCTCGTGCTTCGATGACACCGCTTGGCTGGGAACGAGCGGTCTGTGGTTGAAGCTGCTGAATGACCCGTGCTGAGGGGACCCTGTGCACAGGCACCTGCTGCGCTCAGTGCTGCTCCGCAGAGCAGAGCGGCTTCCTGCCTCGGGAGCTGCGGCTGCTGCAAGAGAGCTGCTTTGTCAACAAGGTCAAGGCAGAGCTCTTACAGGAAGGAAGAATGAGACCCCGCCAAGCTGCAGTGCTTGATGCTTGAACACAGGCTTGTTCAAGAAAACACCATTTCCCTCAAACAGATTCATCCATCTGCAGTGTGGGGCATGGGCTCCAGGTCTGTCTATTATCACTTCTTTGATAAATACTCTGCACACACCGTAGGTTCAGATTTTCTAATACATATTGGAGAGCTTTCTGCCAATTCATATTCAGACAGCAACTTACACTGGGGCAAAACAGGGACTTTGTGTTCTCCTCGTACTGCTTGTCCAATTTCTTGTCCTATTGGAAAACAAGCAAACAAGAAAATTAGCTTCCCAATTGCAAGGTCCCTGCCCCCGTTTCCCTGCAAGGATGCAGCAGGGCGCGGGGCTCTTCTCCCTTCCCCTACCTCCCATGCCTTCCCATCCACCCCGGGCGTGCTCGTGGGCACAGCAACCCTCTGCTCTAACCCCCCGCAGCTGTCGGCATCACACCACGTGCCCACGCTCTCAGTTGCTGTGAGCTCGCCCTCTTTACCCATCCAGCCAAGCTCAACCACGACCACTTCCTGCTCTGGGGCTCCCCACAAAACGGGGGTGTCTTATTTCTTAGCAGGGCTTTAGAAAACTTTGACTCTAATGGCAGTTCCCAAAATTATACTTGGGTAGAATTTGGAAGGCAGAGGTAGAAAATCTGCCTAGGAAAGAACAAGAAGGGCTCCAGGGAACAGTCATGGGAGCACTGGGTCTGCCACAGCCTGGCAGAGCTTAGCAGGAGTTCTACCTACCGAAGGCGCAGTAAGTCTTAGATATTCTGGATTCTCCCCCCGGGGTTTGCTAAAAACTTCCCATCACCTTCTCCCACAGACATCTGCCATTTCATGTACAAAGGGTGTTCTCTTACAGCTCAATCCAACAGAGCAGTCATCTCAAAGACAGCTTACTCACCACGCAATGCACAAGGATGCTGAGAGGAATCCAGAAAAGTAAGGAGAAGACAAGCACAGAGCCCACTATATTATCCGCTAGGAACTTCCCTGCGAAATCAGTTCAAATCTGTTAGTAACCTACCAAATACTGTTTCACGAACATACACATCTATCCCCATTCTGCAGCCACTGCTTATGCCAGCCAAGCCACAGAATTGCTCAGAAAAGCACAGGCTGCAGGACTAGGCAAAGATAAAAGACATTGTATAATATTAGAAAACTGTATCCAATATGTTAACAGTAACAGTTTCTTCCCTCTGTTCTTCTCTGATGAGAAATGCTGACAGGCCGTAACTTTTAATATGAGCTGATTTGGAACAGGCTATATTGAGTCAGCCAAGCTGCCCCTCTCAATTATACAACACACACTGCGAGTCTGTTACCGAATTCTGATTTTACAGTCAAGTGAGAACTACCTGCCTCCACAAACAAAATATTTGAACATCAGAGATATACAAATTGCCTCTACCTGAGCAGGCTAAACAGCTTTAACAATTAGCTAAGAAACAATTTTTTGACCCTAGAACTCAAGATTGCAAGCCCCAAACCCAGATAATTACTGTGAGCATATGGCGTTACCCAGTCGTTACCCAGCATCGGCTTATTAACAGGTTTTGTGTGGTTCCAGTAACAGGGTGAGACGCTGGGGGGTTGCGCTGGGGGGGTCAAGAGCAAGGAGGCCCACCCACAGCCACCGGGCAGCGACTCAGCACCGGCACACAGCCTGAGGTGTGTGACCTCAGTGGTTTTCTTAAATAAGAAAGAAATGAAGTCCTCCTCTCCCAGCCTGTTGACATTTAAACCCCACTGAGAGGCCCACTTCACACTGAATCTAGCTGACCTCTAAAAAGCCTGTCTGTTGTTTACTTTTCTCTAATTGACCTACTTCTTGGTATTCAGACAAGAAGCTACCATCTCCTTTACAAGCTTAGAAGATGCCTAGAAAATAAAGGAGTGGAAAAATGCAAAGTGATCCCCCATCCTTTCAGCTTTAAAAGGCAAGATCAGTATTGTCAAACTTTAGGCAAAAATATATTTACCTACATCAGAAACACAGCTACTAGCTACCCTTGCATACAGGTGAACAAAAAGCCAGCCAGCTAACTCCCTCCAAGGCTTCAGAGGTTCATGAGGTCATGAACTACAAAAAACCCCCAAAGGATATGGTTACATATCTTACCAAAAGTATTGATGCTGAGTTGGTCTATGAAATCCCAAAATCGTTCAATCACATCCTGTACTTGCTTCTCACATTTACCCTGCAAAAGTAAACACTTATTTACAAAACAATCTTGCACTATCTAAGCATAAGATGGAGAGAGAAGACGACACAAAGATTATAATGAAGTAGAAGCTACAGACGCAGAAGGACTTGACTCACATTCTGAATATAGGCTTACACTCATGCCCAGTAGCAGCAGTCCATTTTTACTGCCTTTATCTTTGGCAAAAGAGTTTCAATTCTATTGCTGTCTGAAACAGATGAAGTTTTAATGTTTGAAATGCGCAAAAACTGCCCCACCCTCGCCCCACTTTAGGGGACATAAAACTGAAGTTTCTGGAGAGGTTTAAGCACCGGAAGCCTCAGTTCCCATTACCCACCGAGAACGCTGCAGCTCTCAGGAGCCCAAGGTTACAGACAGACAGACTCCCAGATCTGGCTGTGCTGGTTTAACACAGCACATCATCAGTCTTTCAGTTCTGTCAGTGGAAGGGCTGGAGCATGACCTCCCAAATTCAATTCTGCCAACACCCGGTTTAGCTTTGACTGTCGGGGTCTGCAGGTGACGTGCTGTCTGTGCAGCTGTACCACGAAAATGCTCACTGGGTGCCAGCAGCCCGCCAGTCTCCCCGCCACAGGCTCACTGTCCCCTCCAGATACTGTCAGTTAGATTTTCATGCGATTGCTTCCCGACCTGTATTATTTTAGTCAAAATTAATTGGGCTGCCGTGAACAGCTGAAATAGCAAGCACTGCAAACCTAGCTGAGCTTACGGCAGCGCTCATCCTCCTCCTTCACACAAACCGCCGGCTGGCTGAGCTGTGGGGAGCAGCAAAAGGGGCAACAAGCACCGGCAGAAGGTAACAGCTCCACCTTGCACAGGTCTCTGCAGAACTAACTTCCATCTACAGCCTCAGACACCCTTTAGTATTTACCCTGTGGAGAGGTATTTTACACCGTATCACCCTGCTCAGCAGCAAATCAAGCTTTGGCTTCTCTTTACCAGTACAGTCCTCATCACAGAGGACTCAAAACACACAGGCACAGAAGCAGAGCGTGCAGTGCACCGACACCTGGGAACACTTACATTTGTATCGCAGAAGCCCACAGTGCAAGGCTTCCCCTTGCGCAGGAACAAGAACTGGTCGTTAGCATCGACATAGGGTATGCACCTATCCTGCTCGTCCCGGCAGCACACCTTGCAGGAATTATCTGTTTCTGTAATAAAGCGACAAACTCATTCCTTGGCAGTGCCAAGAGCCACCTGCAACTCATAACCATGCAGATGCATAACCCCACGTGTCCCCTGGCTGACCGCGTTCCTGCCCAGCTTCCCCATGGGGAAGGCAGGACCGTGTGAGTTGCCCAGTTTTGGTTGCTCTGATGACCAAGCCTGAAACTCAACCAGATGCCCTGTGCAACATGTTAGGGGACACAGTGGGACCAAGCCCTCCAACCTGATACTCCAACACCACAGGAATCAACAGGCAGGTGAAGAACTTCCAAACGTGTCCAAGACACAGATTTAAGTATTTCTTGGACTTGGGGTCCTCTAGGCACTCTTCTCTTTGGCTATGCCCTCCACCTCAAATGGGGGGGCTCGCAGCACTTCCCCACACTGCCCCTGTGAAGTTCTCCTCCTACTCCCAGCTGCTTTACTGGATTTAAGAGCTGAGATGGCAAGCAAGTGAACAGTAAAGCTTACTGACAGAAGTATATGACAGGCAGGTTTGCAGGAGCAGGGACTGGACTCAGGGATCCTATGTCCTCGTGGCACTTCAACCTCTTTGAAATGTTTCTTTAACCACTTGTTGGAGGCTGCTACTCCTCTGCCAGATACCTGGTCCAGAGGTTGGTTGGTATCTCTTTACAATCAGAGAACAGCCAGACTTCCCCTCCCATACACCTGTGGCAGAGGAGGTGGAAGGTGGGAGAGTGCCCTCTCCTTTAACTGGGGTGCCAGACCGTAAGTCTCATCTTAATGTCTTCAAACACAGACCACCAGAGGACAAGAGGACATTTACATTCGTTTTCCAAACAGAAAACACTAGCCCTGAAAAACCAATAGTTTAAACTTCTACAGAAGCCATAAACTCAGCCCTCCAACAGGCAAACCCACAGCGAAGCCAGCACTCTCTGAGGAGCAGAGCTGAAGCACGCATGTCACCCACCGTTGCACGCGCACGAGCGCAGATTCTTCTCCCTCTCACAGAAAGGGACGCACTCCCCGTCCTTGCACTTCCCCATGTCCACACAGACCGTGTCATCTGGAGCGTTCCCTGGAGGGGGGCACTCGCTGCTGTTCCCTACAGATGGAGGTCGACAGGGTGGGAGGACTGTGTTAGAGTAAAGGGCAGAGCACCTAAGTGTGCAGAAGAAAAAAGGACAATAAAGGAAATCCAGACTCATCCCAGGGCGACCCCAATAGCTTGTTTTTGACCTTGACCTGCAGGCTGCCTACCAGCTCCTCTGAAAGGCAGCAGCAGCTTTGGAGGCTTTCAACAACTCAGGCATTGTGGCACTCCAGCGACCAAGGAGTAGGTAGCAGACCCTGGAGGTGCCATCAGCAAAGCAGGAGCTCTGACTTGACTCCTTGCCTCCAGGAAAGATTACGAGGAGGAAGTAAACAAGTGGGGAAGTGAAGCAGAGTTGCAGTAATTCCACCCTTTCTATGGCAACATTCAGCCATTCTTGTCCACTCCCAGTGACATACCCTATTTTGCTTTTTCTTTTTTTAAGGAAAGAAGAAAGGAAAAAAAGAAAAACCACCAAGAAAATCAACATTTTCATGTTCTCCTGGGCAGCAAATCACCAAGTGACTCCAGAACTACAATGAAACTCATTATAGGGTAATTTCGTGATGCTTAACTGGTCTCTAAAATTACATGTACTGGATGAATAAAGGGCACTAGTTTGAAAGTGGATCAAACAGGAACCTGAGCCTGGAGCGCTTGGCTGGTTGACATAAAGGGGACAGAAACATGTCCTACCAGTGCAAAAAGACTCTCCTTTACAAGTGGCATTTATTGCTTCTTGGCATTTCTTCTGTGCGCTTTCAAACTGGCAGCCTTTACAGCAGGGGCTGTTCCGGTCACTGTGGAAAGATCAAAATGAAAGGAAGAAGTATTAAGCAATTTTTTTTTTTTTTTTAAAAAAAAAAAATAAGTACAAGCATGACAAAGCCAGGGAAAAAACGATGTCTAGGGGGCAGGAAGCTACTTCTTGGAGATTGACTCACTGGTTCACAACCCTTGCCCTCTCTATCCCCCCCCACAACCACCTTTCTACACAGCCACTCACTCTTCATTTACCAAAGGTAAAAGCACGTAGAAAGTACAACATATTGAAAGACAACACAGGGGTCCTTATATTTATTCAAGGCACCTGGATCCTCTTATTACTTGCTGTGCAACTTTGGACAAGACCTTCCACTGTTTTCCTCCCCGCGCATTTTTCCCCATTTGTCCTGAAGGTTTACTACTCCTTATTCTGCGCTCCCTTTATTCCCTGTGTTCTGCATCTAACGCAAGAAGGCCCTTAGTACAAACACGGTCATTGAAGTTGAGGGAATTTCTTGCTAAACAACAGGAGTTGCACGAGCTCTCTACTGCTACACGGCGCAGAGCTGAACTCTGAAAAAACAGACCGGACACTGCATTGCAATAGGGCCACGAACGCCCCAAAGAGCAAGAAGAACAGAAAGAGGACTCCTTTAGTGCAGTCCCTGTATTGTCTGCTCAAACACATTTTGCAGCTCAAACATATTTCAAGCATATTTGAAAATACCAGTATGCGATCCCAGTTTAAAGCTGCCTTGCAATTCAAGCAAAAATTGTATTTGCACATGAAGTTTGCACAGGAATTTTTAATATTAATTTTTTGAATGCCTAAGTTTGCATAACAACAACAACAACGTCTGTAGCTCGTGGCACTTCTCAGAATAAGTAACAGCATGCTGTAAAAATTAATGTATACAAACAGCGCATGCACACAGCAGCCTTTCCTGGAATCCTTTATTGTCTTCAGCTCACATGTTTAGCCTTAAAGCCAGGAAACGGGTCTGTGACACTGCAGGTGGCTTTAGGAGCTTTCAGCCCAGCCCATCGTTCTCTCCTGTGTCAGAGAAGCTGCAGCTTATTTCTCCTTACCTGCATTTGGCACCATCTTTCAGTTTACACTCTGCAGAGCAGCAGGGATCAGCCTGTTGGTACAAGAGGCCAGGATCGCATTCCTCCCCTTCATCCACCCTGGAGTTCCCACACACTTTGTTGTTGCGCTCTTTGAAGCACTCCTGGGCCTTGATCTCTATGGTCCTATGGATGGATTTTTTGCTGCAGCTTGAGAACATCTAGAGAGTCATGACGGGAAAGAGCAGCACTGAGGAGCGTACCTTTCTGTCAGTAAGTGGCACCTAACACAGCCTCAGCTTCCTTATGCCTCCAAATTCTGGTGTCTCAGAAAACAGTGTCTCTATACTGCCAGTGTGATACCTTGGAACAATTTTAAGATGGGAAATTAATGCTTGGGTCCATAAAGGACATTGCTACGTTACAATGCAGAGATACCCATACGCAGTCTGACTCAGGGTCACGGAGCCAACTCCAGCTCTCCCACAGCTTCAGGACCACTCACAACCATCCCCAGGAAGGGCTGCAAAGTTGTAGCAATGCGGACAGACTGCGCTGCCTCTCAGCAGCAGGGCTAGACATGAACCACAAGAAGTCAGACTAGACTCCAGACTAATCATTCCCTCGATAATCTTGGTTTCTCATCTGCAGAACAGGCACAATGCCAAGTCCACACTGCCAGTGCAAGCTTCTGAGACTGGCGAGCACCATGGCTGCGGCGTCTGGCAGTCCCTCTCCAACAACAATAGCTATGGACCACCCAAACGCTATTTGGTACTGAGGGTCCTGTATTTGACTCTTGCTGATGACTTGCTTTTAGGAGCATGCAGCCACAGGTAATTACAAACAACTAATTAAAAAGGCACCTGGACACGCTACGAACTCCAGTGAAACTCAGAATCCAAAGATGAGCTTATCTCACAGAGAACCCAATGGCATGCAAGTATGTTTTCTTCTTACAGCTAATGCATTACATTCCTGATGGTTTCAAGCTACAGGAATCATTAACTAAATAGACTTTCCACACAAAGGGTCATTGACCATAGCAGAAACTTGTACATGGAAGCAAAACTATGCAACTATACCTTATTGTTTTCATGATCTCCACTGACAGCAATGGGATACATAACATATTTCCCTCCCTGGTCTTCAGTGGGGGCACATTCTGGCAGACTATCAGGATCATGCTCTGCTCCAAAGTTATGTCCGAGTTCATGCGTCGTAACCAGGTCAGCCTCCTTTTTTGAACATTAAAAAAAGCAATGCTGAAAAAAGTTAGTCTGAGCAGGACAGGACAGAAGATCCCAGCTACTTCCAGGCCACCAACAATTCTAAGATACACTGAGATGGAAAGTGATTTCCCCGTGAACTTTTTTTTTTATTAGAAGTGGGCAACTAAAGGCAAGTAAAATTATGGTGTGTTTCCAAAGGCAAGTTCCAGGACTAGGTTTGAATACTAAACCACTGTTGAAGGCAAAATGCTGTCCTAGAATACAGATTCAATCTTGTTTTCAATGCAATGCAGATACTTAAAATATCAAAATTGGCTTTTTAATAGCTGGAAGGCATAAAAAGTTGAAACAAAAACCAATTCAAACAAACACCAGCTACTACGATTAGTCAATCTCTTGTTTAACGTATCTTGCCATTAGAATTATTTCTTCTAAATGGATGATGACATTAGGAGTGCTGAATAAACTCTTCTATTGCACGATTACTAGGAAAGCCACCTACAAATGTGGCCCAACAGGGATGGATTTCCAACATCATTTATGCAAGACAGGACTCCCTCTGCTGAGGATCCCAAACCGGCTCTGCCTCGCTGGGCGCCTCCCTGCAGCGCCTTGACCAGCAGATGGTGAGAGGCTCACAAGGTGACAACCACAAATAAAACTAGCACAGAAATAACAGCCAACCACAAGGAGACCGAGCAGTTCACAAGAGAGAGAAGCAAGTTTGATGAGCTAACCCTCATTTCAGCTGCTGTGCAGGCACAGGAAGGACCAAGCACTGCAACGAGCAGCACCAGTACCCAGTGTGGGCATAGCTAATGCGAGAGCCAGAGACAGGAGAGCTGCCCAGAGATCACTCCTGTGCTTCATCATGTTTAATTTGGGGAAGGGTTTGAAGCAGATTTTTTTTTTTTGCCTTTCAAAACCCAAGTGGACACCATGCGACACCCTTCCTGTGAAACCAATCCATAATGGTCCCTCTGCCTCATCCCAAGCTTTGTGACTGCCACTGGGAAGGACAGCAAACTCAATTTCCTTTGTAATCCAAGGCAAAACTCCAGCTTGGAGATTGAACAACAAATGCAAATAGCATGGCAACGGCTAGAGCTCTTTGTCAACATCCCTCTCACACAAAGCCTCACTGTCTTTTTTCCCTAGCTTCTTGACAGCTTCTGTGCCAAGATTTAGCCCACACATCAATTATGAATTCCATTTATAATCAGGCTACAGAAAAGCACAGCTGAGAAGTCAGCAGAAGTCAGCAAAAGAGAAATATGCCCAACTGCAAAGACTTGGTAAATGCAAATACAGGCACTGCTCTGGTATCTTTACAACCGAGACAAAGCTCATATTCAGGCCTTTATGTATTTACTATCTCATCAACTATGAAAAAAAAAAATCCAGACACCATCGATTTACATTTGGCTTAGTATTAGCACTAACAGACCCTGCCTATTACACCATTCTCTGCTCTACTTACTCAGGACACACACACACACACAAAAATCAGGTAGAGAAATTTCATTAAAAGGGCCAAGCTAAACCGCCTGCTTTGCCTGCACCACTTTCACTGCTTTACCTTGCAAAGGGAACAGACCAAGCATATACAATTGTCCATCTGCATGTTGTACATATACGTAATAGCAAAAACATCATCTTTTTCTTATTTGAGTCAGCAGACTAATGATATTCTTATTGTAAGTCTACTTGTATAATATTTGCTTGTTCTGTTGAGGGCTTGTTTGAGTTCACGCTCTGCAGAGGAGAATACTCTCCTACCTTTGTGAGGATGGTCTTCCCATAGTTCTTGGTGCTGGTTAAGCCACTGTTCAGATAGATGTCCTTCTTTGCAGTTTGACTATAATAAGCTATAGGAAGTGAGAAAGAAACATATCAAAATTGCCAAATATTTTTCTTGGATTTCAGGGGTTTTTGGGAGAGAGAGGGATACTTGTTTGGGGATATGAACAGCTTTATTGTTCTCACAGGCTCACCGCTGAGACCTTGCCTCTTGCCAGTTTTTGGCATGGGGAATCTTTCAAGCACAGCAGAAACAGCTCATGTGTTGCAGTAAAGGAGAAAATATAAGACATTTCCAAGACAACAGTATCTGCCATTCCAGAACCGCTGCAAGATGCACCCACACAAAGCAGCCCTTAGTCTAGGGCTTGGTCTAGCCAGCTTGCTCACATCAGATAGCTTAGTGACTTTTATCCTTCCCTCCCTTCTTTTTCCAGCTCCAGCCAAGAAAACAGCCATCTAGTCTATCCGAAACCCAACCACTAGAGTGGTAGCATAACACTTCACGCTTTGTGAAAGTTGGAGAAGAGGATTAAACACAAATACCAAAAACTAGCTTTCAACCCACAACTGAGAGAGAAGAAAAGGAAGCCTTGCCTTTAGGACAAATGCCACCGTGGCTGTTAGGTCTGGGAGAGCCAACATAAGCCAATCCAAGGGTTCCCATATCAAAATCTTGATACGTGAAGAGATGAGCAAGGCACACGTGAGCTGCTTTCTCAGCAATATCAAAGCTAAATTGCTTTAAAGAAAAAATAAAAAAGTCAAATCTTTGTAAGACACTTTATGGTGCATATTAGAAATCTACAGATTAGAACATTTATCTAATGAGCCAGACAGGCACCTTCTAGAGCTGGTTACGGCAGAAAAAAGCAGCCGTTATCTGTCCTACAGAGCTACAGAAAATTAAATGAATACCCAACTACATCGTACACATTCATTTACATAACCTGACTATTTGATTCCCCTTTTCACAGAGAGGGGAAAACCAAGTGCAATAATGTGATGAAGGTCACAAGGCAGCCAGTCTCAGGGCCAGACATATCAGGACTGCCTTTCTGACTCAGGCCACATATTAATAATTTGAACTGGTGTGTGCTCTATAATTATGCAATGGAGCCCTCTACCACAGGCTACAGGGCACATGAGCTAGTTCGACTTTGCGTAACATCTATGCGTCATGTGAAGGAAGTAGAGGAGTTTCATCTGTTATTACAGAGCAGCTGTATGAATGAGTAATTCTCTGTAAGAGGCACAACTTTTCAAGGGTTACAACCTACCTCTAGCAGCATTTTCACATCCCAGGCATCTTTCTTATCATCTGGGTAACTTTTTGCCATATTGTAATGCTTTTCTCCAGGTTTTACAGGATTTGGCTCATTGTGGATGATAATCTACATTTCAAAAAGGGCAACAACAATGTAGAGGAATTTTGATCAATTTAACAGCTACAGAAAAGCTTTCAGTGTAATCTTACATGTCTCAATAGATCTGCAAGAAGAAAAATTCAGACTCAGCATGCTTCTAATGTTAACTTTTCAGCCTCTGCTAGTTAAGATACACCAATTACATCATAAGCAACTACATGAGCCATTTTATGGAGCAACATCAACAGTTTTCACTGTTAACATCCTGCTTTGCGTTGCATGTTACTCTATCAAAAAAGACCACCCAAATACAACCAGGATTTACATCTAGTTACAACATTTCAGAGTTCTAGCTAACCAAAACATATTTTAAAGGATTGCTACTTTCACAGTAACCTAGAATTACTGCATCACATTCTTTCCCCCTCCCTGCCCAATTAACTCTCCTTCCTTGTTCCTGCAGACCTTTTCCCAGCAAAGGGGCAGCCAGCTTGTACCATGAGCCCTGTGTTTTACACCACAGCTCTTGCTGTACTCCGAGCCGAAGGATTCCTCTTCTTTTTTTAATGCCCTTTTCCAGATTTCTGTGTGCTAACTTTCAGGAGCCATCATATAAATTGTAGTCTCTACATCCTGTGTGTCCACCCTGTATCAGCCTCTACACTATCATGATGTCTAAGGGGAGCTATTGAAGCTCTTCAGGCAGGATTCGTGTTTTTTTCATCTGTGTTTGGGGCCCACTCATGCTTTGTAAGCTAAGCACTAGCCACAGACACAAACACTAAATACATGCATAAGAGTATGTCTGACAGAAACAAGAAGTGCTCATATTCTGGAAAAAAGCACCTTTGAATTGAGGTTAAATATAGAAAGATTCTCCCTGAAAACTCCCATCTCAAAAGCTGAGAGAAACTGAAAAAGGGCATTCGGTGTCAAATCTTTAACACTACCTCTGGCAAGGTGCTATTTCAGCATGCACCTGGCTGGAATTAATAATGTAGGATTTTATTATTTTAGCTCTAATCCAGACAAAATAATCAGAAACCTTGATATCCAAAACATGTTCTTATCCTTTAAATTAGAAACCATTTGCATAGTTCAGTGAATACCTGCTCTATCTGTATGCCGTACCCATTGAAGGCTCCATTGTCCCAGGAAGTATTTCGGTAGATGTCATCTACTCTGTCTATCAATTCAATCTATGTGGAAAAGAAAAACAAGTCATTTAGTTCCAAGCTTTCATAAATACATAAATAAAGTTCAAGACACTCAGAGAAGCTGCACCATACTTATCTAGAAACACTCACTTCAAATTAAAATTGAACCTCATATAACATAACAGACATACTCACTGACCCAAAACCAACAGCACTTGGATCCAGAGAGTATTATCAAATATCCCTGAAAATTTTCCATCATAACAAAGCAGTACCAACTTTCCCATTTATCACTTTAATTTGTGTAGTAGAAGGGCGATAAACGCTTTGTTCATATAGTAGTTTTCCAGGTTTCTTTGAGAGGAAGGGCACAGGAGGGAGTTGTTTTTACTGCTTTGTTTTAGCATGATGCTTAACTAGTTTAACTGACCCCTGAGGCCTGCTTCCCTCTCCCAGCCAAAACCCTATTATTTTCTTCATTATGGTTCAAGTACAAGGTTCCAAAAAGTCTCTCATCAGTGCTCACTATCAATACCTCCCTTTTCATGCTGTTCTCATCTTGTTAAAAACCACCTTCTACTAAATATAAACCATTAAACTTGCTCAGAAGGAAAAGTGACATTCAGAGCCACTCCATAATAGTTTATGCTTTAGTTTTCCAATCACTGTGTTGTTTACAGCACACATCTACTCAGGAAACACAACAGTAGGTTAGCCTGGAAGAGTCATGTGTCACATGCTGAGATAATAACATCTCTGCAAATACATGAATTGAGGCTCCGTTACCTGGGGAATGTAAACATTTCTGGGGACAGAAAGGTCAAAGAGCAAGCAAAGATGGAACAGAGTGATTAGCATTTCAAAGATTCAGGATCAGAAAGAGACTCTTAACAACAGGCCTCCAAAAGTGGTTTCTTTTGGTTTTGTCTTGAGTCCCCAAACCCACACTCTCCACTTCTGCTGAAGGGTTGTGGGCAGGCATTCTATTTCGCAAAAACTTGTCAGGTAGACAACCCCATTGTACCAGTTTTGGCTGGACTACTTGGTAACAAGTACGCACGATGAAGCCCTGCTTTCCTGAGGATGGCTGAACACATGCCTGCTGATGGGAAGCAGTGAATGAATTCCTTATTTTGCTTTGCTTGTACACACAGCTTTTGCTTTACCTATTAAACTGTTTTATCTCAACCCACTAGTTGTCTCATCTTTACTCTTCCAATTCTCTCCTCCATCCCACCAGGGAGGAGTGAGCAAGCAGCTGGGTGGGGCTGACCTGCCTGCTGGGGTTAACCCACAACACCCACATACAACCAAACAAATTGTTTACCACGCCTGCATCAATTTTATTGTTCTGGACAGAGAATCCTGGAAGAATTGGAAAAAAAAAACCCTATACAAGTCGCTTTTGCCTCTCATGAGCTTTAAACATGCTTGAACTTTAAAGATGCTTGGATCATTTGCAGTGGAATTCAAAATCCAGGAGCTTCTAAAGCTCTGACCAGAAAAAGAACATCTCTTAGGCAGAAAATAGCATAGCCACAAGAAGTACATGAAGGGAAAGGACTTGTTTATAAATGAAACTTGAAGACTATTTAACTACAGTATCACCGTTAGAAAATATTTTTAAAGCATGATTTAGCACTTTTCCAGGTAAAAAGCACACACAGTCATGACGTAAATACATATGTTGTGCAAAAGTAGTATAAGCTGTATGTTGTTTTAACTACTGAATCACTATTTTTTCCCCTCCATTTACTCCAGCAAATTGTAACAGAGTATATTTACTTACCAAATAGTTTATAGTAGTACTCTCTTCCCCACGGCCCATATATTTGAAAAAACGATGATCTGCCACTACCAACATCTTGCATGTTTTTTTTGAGTTCTCTGGAACAGTTCTTTTCTTCCTATGGATGCTTGCTAATGTGAACATTTTAAATACAATTAAATAAACACTCAATAAAACTGCCACTGCTGTGTCTATTACCCCTATTTAAGACATGAATGTGAGGTCAGGTGGGTTTTTAGGGAGAGCGGGGGATGTTTGGGTTTGTTGTTTTTTTTGGTTGGAGTTGTTTTTTTTTTTTTTCCTTTTTTAATGATTATTCTTAAATTTTGTCTTCATAACAGGTCTTAAACTTTGTTGTAAGGAAAGAAATGTACAGTAATGAAATTGAGCTATTCCGTAGATCTACCTACAGAGGTTTTATGGTCATCATCTCAGCCTTAACACCTCTCCTCCTCCTGTTCCTAGCCATTACCCCCATCTCTGCTGCCACAGCTGAGGACAGAGGGACCCGAAGCTCTCAAAAACCCATCATAGCTCAGGACGGATTCTTAGACTGCCCACCAAGGCCAAACAGGTCCTGCTGCACAGTACACAGAAGTATAAAGTTGTTTTAATGTTTGACAACATTGCTGCCAGCTATCACAACAAACACTACTTAGGCCTGATGAAACAGCTTCCTCTCCTTAGCATACACTTTGGTAGAGCCAAACATCCTTTCAACAAGCCAGGAAGAAACATGCCCTATTGACAGTTTCTTCCTTTCATCAGTTGCTGGGGTTTTTTTGGATAGGGAGCAGGCATGAAGAGGAATGCTGCTTTAATAGTTAAACTAGAAGTAGCGACACAGATTATTGCCCAGATTCAGATCTTACTTGCCTGCACAGCTAGAATTCAAGCATTCATTTCAAAGATGCTGCTCTCCTAAGGTACAGACACTCACCTTCATTTTGCTTCCTGTCTTCCAGTCCTTTTGGCAACAGTTCTTCTTCATTCAGCTTTAAATAACCACACACTTTGGGGGACTGCAATCGTGAGAAATCTTTAATATCTTCAGATCTGTAGACCAGCAGTCTTTCACCTGGCACATTATCTACAAATCTCCACAGTGGCTGACAGCACAAGAAGAACAGAAATGCATTTAGTTAGGAACACAGCAAAGACTAGGTCTATGTAAGTAAAAGATTGTATTTATGTACCATCAAATCTCTACAGCTTTATGTGTACACACACACAAATACATTGGACTACAATAATTTCACCCACAGCAGTAGGTCCACTGATAAAACAACGTCCCCAAGAAAGCCAACAGAATTCAACTCTTTTATGCTACACAGGCATCCAAAAATCTTAAGATCATCTCAACAGAGCAGCGGCAGCCACCTGATAAGGCTGTAGAAGAGACAGAATTCTTCTTCCCCTCCAGAACAAGAGCAAGCTGAGGAGGCATCTCAGGCTCCTCCGCTCTGTCTGGAGACTGGCACAGCCAGGGAGGAGAGGCTTAGGCTATGCTAACAAATGCACTGACCAGAAGCACAGGAGCTGGCAGAAAACAGAGAATATCTAAGTGCACAGCAGAATGAAGTCTTCACAGCAGAAGGCACGCTCTTCAATGTTCAATAGCTACCCAAGTCACTTATAAGCATGAAAATTTTTCAAAAGCAAAGGAAACAAGAAAACCGTGAAGTCCCACGGTTTTCCTAATTCCCACAGCAGATGCATACCGACAATCTTTTTTTTTTTACCAACACATCCCTATTATTATCTGTACATAACAGCTACAGCAACACCACCAAATACAACATGGCCAAAGTCTGCTCTTCAGGCAAGGCCAAATAGTACAGACCACCCACGTCCACGCAGCAAAGCACTTGGGTCTGGGTCTCCTATGGCCTTTAGGCAGTGGTCTTTCAACTTCAGACAACTATTATTTAGTATACTGTGCTTTCAGTTCACAGCAAAAAGGTCCTGAAATGCAAAGGCTGCGCTGGCCCTGCAGCCATATGTCTACAGTGCAAAACTGAGGACACGTTTTGCATCCTAGGGCAAGGTAAGAGGGCACCATGGGTTTATACAAAGGTCCGCAACCTTTCCAAACAGTGCAGGAGGACCATGAAAGCAAAGGAAGGCAACGTTGGAGTGGCTTTGTCCATGTTGCCTTTTGGGAATGGTCTCTGGCACACACCACCTCTGACTGCACATGGGCGTCATCTCATCCAGGGCTGCTTAGGGGCTGAAGCTGACCGTAGGATGCTAACAGCTAGGTAGGCTGTGTGAGCAAGCTGGAGCCTCCAAGCCATTGCCTGCCTTTATTTAGCTGTACAGACACAGCTGGCGAGGAGCAACGGGGCTGGCTATGCAGGGAACTGAGACGTGCTTACACTACTCTGGACCACAAACACAAAAATGCTTTAAACCACAATCAAATGGCTACTATATGCTCTTAATGCAAAACACAGGCAGAGCTGTTTGGGCATTCCAATCACATTTTCATATTTTAACATGACTGGATTTCCCAGGTTTACCCATAATTCTACATATCCTTGGGTTTGAAGACAATTACAATATCCATATAACGCTCAGCCATAATTACTGTTATTCAACCTTTCTAATACAGCTTGTGTTTGGGAATATACTGCACTGAACAACTCATTAGGATCGTCTCTAATTATATATTTGTTGAATATTTTTTTAAACCAATAGTTTAAAATAACACAAGCAATGAAAACGGTGGAAAACAGAAACAAGAGAGCAGAGAAAAATACCAGATTTTCAAATAAAGCTCTAAGAATGGGAAAAATTCCAAGACATAACAAAGCCAAAATTTTAGAAAGCTCAGACTGCAGCTCTGCTCAGAAGGCAGCAGTTTGTTATTCTAGAAGACATGATCACCACTAGTTACTAACATTATACCATTTCTGTTTCTAAAACCCTTTTCTGTTTAAAACATACCTTCTCCCTGATGTATCTAAAACATGCAAATGTCAGAGAATGTCACTCACTAATCAAACTCAACACTTGCGAAAGTCAAATTGGTTTCACATTTCTCTCCCTCCTCCCTACTCACACCAAAACAAACACCACCACCAAGTCTATTTCGAGCTACAGTGGTGTCAATGTGACTAACTAGAAAGAGAAACACCCACAGGGAAGAGAGATGATTGTTTGAATACTGCTTTCAACAGTAAAGCATACCTCTATATTGTATTCTTCACCATCAGTATTGATTCTTACTGTAAAGTCTTCATCCCCAATATGTGCCACAACCTTGGAATTATGCTCTCCTTTAATATAAGCAAGGAAAAATGAAATTAGTTCAGCTCTATTCGCATGCACTCCTGCACAGACACTGTTTTTTTTTTTTTTAAATCATTTTTAACCTCCAATCCAAATTACCTTCCTCATTCCCTGAAAAACACTATACTGTCCACTTTAAAGAAAAAAAGAAATGAACCGGCACTCCCCCCCCAACCTTAACTTCTCAATAGTCATAGTCATCAAGACTCAGATTTAATTGATAAATTTGCAGAAGGTGTCGAGATGGCTGTGGGGATTAGTAATGGGACACAGAATATTTCTGCCAAAAAAAGCAGCATCCATCTTACTACTATCAGACAGCAGTTTCATGGCGTCAGCCTGCATTCCAGTCGAAAAGACTTTCGCCACATCACAAAGGCAACATAAAAATCAAAACAACTTAGCGGAAGCATTAGTGTTGGACTAAAGTGGAGCAAGACACCCTTTCTTTACAGAAAAGTAGTGTGCAAAGAACCATCCTGAAGTCTTTTAATATAAGAATGTGGGCAACACTGCATCACCACTAACTACCTGGGCTTTGTGTTCTGGGACAAGGAACTTTCAAGTCCTACATTCCAGCTGGAATTAAAGCCACCATCATAGTTTTAAGAAAAAAAAGAAAAAAGAAGAAAAAAAGACAAGCTGCTGCTTTACTACATTACACCTTTGTGTTCTGCCAAACTAAACAGAAGAGTCCTATCTTAGAACCTTGGTGCAATAGCTCAAAAAACCCCACCACCCACCAAACCTAAAAAAAAAAACCCAAACCCGCCACAAAAACAAAACCAGAAAACCCGAGGGGTATGAGAATTAAGTTTACTTGTTCATCCTAACCATATCTGATGAAAATGCGTGCAATACACCGTTTACTTTGGCCAAGAAACTCGTGCAAAGCTGTGCTTTCTCAGCACTGACACACAGTCTAGTCCATACTAACCAACGACATGTCCGGTGAAAAAGTCTTGCCATTGAACACGATACTCCTTTTCCTTGCCTTCACCATCCACAATTAATGCTTGAAATTTTTCTGAAAAGTGTTCAGCAGTTGCAGTTAAGTATAATTTAAAGTGCCTGTAAAAGAATTTACTTCCATTTATTTTTAAGCAAAGTATACACATAAACAGATACATCCAGTCTCCATTTTACTGAGGGTCTGAAAGAAGTTAGAAAGCAGGCTACAAAAACATATACTGTGTAATTCATAAGTGTAAATATTTTTAAAGAGTCAAAGATGATTAATTAAAAAAAATTAAAAACAACCCCCAAAATCCAAAACAGTCATGGTTTGCTCATGATGGACCTTCTCCATTTGCAGTGAAGCAAAACCAGTTACCAGTAACTATTTAAAGAAAAATCAGACCAAGGAATTTGTTTGTCTGTTTTAAATTAAATTATCTTAAAGTTCTTATTTTCTGAAACAATACAGTCAGAAGACCATAAACAGAAATCTGAACTCTATAGACTTTTGTGATATATTGTCACAAAAACTATAGGCTATCCCAACAAGTAAGCAGAGAACCTTCTCTGGAAGAAGCCTCATGGGCTCTTGGTTTATGTGGCCTTTGGGTCAAAGATTTTTGGTATGCCCCTCTGCAATTATTCTGTAATTATCACTGGCAGTATTGCAACCTCACCACAAAGTCAGGATGCAAGAGGCAGTGCAAAACAGGGACAGACATTTGATCCCATTAACCTTTTATACTTGCTACTTAAAAACTATCCCCTCCAAACATTTAGAGATTCAAAAAATATGCACAACAACTTGCATGACAGTTGTACTTGCAGATGACAGAAGGGGAAGGCACATGAGAACACAGCAGACAAAGATGTCAGATGAACAAAATCAACCTACTCTTGTTAATACAAAGCATTATTCTCACCCTGCTCCCCCATTTCAGATTCACAATTTCAGCACTCAAATACCTGGAAGGCATTTTTCTGACACTCAGAATAAAATGCGAACAACCTTCATACCTGCTCTCTTCTATCTCTCCTTCCCCTTTCACTTGTGCTTCTATTTTCCATCTTATTAAAAAAAAATGATTAGAAGCAGCATTTTATTGAATGGGAAATTTACACTCAGTAGGAAGAGGATTAAATCTCCATGGAAAAAAATACAATAAATCTCTTGGGCAAGACACCACATGCAGTCCCCAGACTGAAGGCAGAGATTTTCAAGAACCAGAGGACAGTCAAGAAGTATGACAAAGTTGCCAGATGAGGTGTAAGTGTGATCCAACCCAATCAGGGGAAGTAATCTACATGAAACTAAAGCTAAGAACAAAGCAAAAGAAATCTTAAATCACTGCCACTTCAGCAAGCAGGGTAATCCAATGTAACTTATTAAGATAACTATTTCTGGGTTTGGAACTGTGCATTATTGATCACAAACTGAAGGAAAACATTATGCTATTTCATTGCTGACGATTTAATTACCTTTGCAGGGCTGAAAAACTAAAGAGCCTCTCTACATGTGTCTCGGGCTGGAGGTCCCTCTTCCTCAGTGAGTGTTGCTGGATGCTAGACTGAGAAAGAATGTCGTAGTCTGAAAGCATGGACTCAACTGTGTCTGGAAGAACAAGAAGGTAACTTTCAGTTCCAGAAGACTGTCTCACAAATGGACACATAAAACAGCAAACCAGAGCCTCTCATTTCAACAGCAAGACCACAGTTTGCTCTAATTTTAGGATAACTACTGTACATTTCTGTAAAGGTGCATTTTGTGTAGGCAAGTAGAAATCACAGTGCGAGACAAGACACAATCTGAGTGAGGCAAACAAAGAACTTAGTTCACTTCTTATACCAATTTTTGAGCAACCAACTCATCATTTTTACTGCCACAGCTGTGCAGAGCCAATGCCCTCACTGGCTGTCCCCTGGAAACTAAATGGGGGAAAGCGTCCCCACTTCTCTGGAGTGACTCACCCTCCTCCCCACTTGCTGGTCCCCATCAGAGTCTGAGGAAGAAAACAATTTAACCTCGGAAACTTCTACCAAATTCACTGCAGATCAGGACTGCATTTATTACCTTTCCGTCCAGCAGCAGCCAGAAAACAGATGTCTGCATAGCATAATCAATCAAAAATAACTAATAAGGCGCCTCATGTGAGGCACCTCCAGGTACCCTGGTTTCCCAATACCTTATGACCACACAAAACTCCTTTGACTTCCCTACTCAGAACACAAAAACTTGTTCAGAGGAGGGGGACCAAGGGCCCAAACCCCTATGGGGAGCAGCATGCAAATTACAAATTCAGGTCAATATTCTGCAGATGCTTCCACCACTAACAAGGGCACAATGCCAGCTGCCAGTGGTGTCTGGCTCTTGCTGATGAAGCCTCCTGCTGCTTTGTAAGGCATCCCTTCACCAGGAGCACCCACCCGCATTCCTCCTCTCCAGAGCACCCACCACCTGGCAAGGCACCTGACAAGCATTTTCACTTCCATCACCGCTAATCAATTCATTTGCTATTTTCAGGCTTAAACAGGGGCCCTTATTCCCACATCACTGTCTTCCTTCTCTGCCAGAGGTGTTCACTCTTTTCACTGCACCAAAAGAGGAATCAGCTGTGTTTTGCAAGAAGCAGAAGTGCTCTTCCAATCATTCTATATTAAAAAAATTTCCTCTTTTGCCCCCTCCGTTTCCAGTTGTGCTCCTAAACCAGACATGACAGCTACTGAAACGGGCTTTCATTAACAAAGATGGCCTTCTGCTTCTTCAGAGCTCCTGATCACTAGCTTACACCACCTATGCAAGTAACCTCACACGTTTTATTGGACTTTTAAGTAAGAAGCACCACTAGTAAGCTGAGTTTTACTGGCTCTTGTGCAACAAGCCAAGATTGCCAACTTGAAATCTAGATTGGTACAGCTCCTGAAATAATTTTTATGACACTCAGTACCGTCATTTATCCCTAAATATGTGCCTCTAAAGCCCAAGAAAGCCTTTAAGAACAGGCACACCGTTTGGGCTAAGGCAAGCACCTCACTGTTTCTTTTGTGAGGGGGCGGGTGGGGAGAATTGACCACCAGTGCATGTGCACACATGTGCTTGTGTACACTGGAAGCGAGGGAGCTGCAGAAACAAAGATGACCCTCACAGCCCTCCTGGCCCTGCACCAGACCTACTGGCAAAGTGATGGATAGATGACACGGCTGCCTTCTGCAGCAGAAGCCACCAAGCAGCAGCTCCCAGGCTTCTCCCTCCCCGCCTGCCCCTCCCCTGCCATTGAGCAACACAGGAAGGGCAGTGCAGTTGCCGTTTCCTGATTTCTGTTTACAACCCACAGGTTGAGAGCACCTGCAATCGATTACCATGTGTTTCGGGTTATATGCAAAGGCAAGTTGCCACCACCTTCCTTCGTGTTGTGGCTTTTTCCCCCCTTACGTGCCCAGTTGCTGCATGTCAGGCAGCGCCTTCATCGTTAGCTTGCCACACGCTGCAGAGCTGGCTCACTAGAGCCACACAGTAAGCAAATACCTAAAAACTCCCAAAACGTCCCTTTTCTTTAAAAAGCCCATTATAATTCATTGCTTATGGTCTGGCACCTGCCCTCATCCAGAACCACCTAGGAGGAGGGTAGGGACAGTCAGGGAAAATCAATTCTGAAAACAACCTCATTAAGCTGTCTAGTCCTAAATTCTTTTAATTAAACCTAAGATTCTTTCAACACGCTCAGCTAGAGCAGACCCCTCAATTAAAGTGCGTGTTAATATATGGGATACCAAACGTTGGTTCGTGATACAGAGCAAGAGTGTGGTATGTGGGCCATGAAGCAAGAGAGGTGTGGTACCACTGCCGCGTTGCTCAGGGACTTACTGACATGGGGACTTGCCAAGCACAAGGTCTACCCGAGAGGCACAATCCCAGCCGCAAAACACGACTCCTTCTGCCCTTTCCCACCTCTGCCTGCAAAGTACAGCCCGGAACCAGGGAAAGGGCATGCCAAAGAGCAAGACGTAGCTGCCACTACGGCCAGACAAAATGGCTCAGTTTCATGGCAAGAGAACCGAGAGGCCTGCTAAAGAAATTAGTTTTTTTTTTATTTGGTAGGCAAGGAGAACTTCAGAAGTCCTGCTCCACCTTAACACACACAAACACCCTTCTGGAAATGCCTCACAGAGACATGGGAAGGGTAGTTAGAACAAGACCTACAGAGTTGGTGGAGAGGACTAAGATGATTCTGTTAAAGTAACAAATGAAACACAGGACACTCCTAGTTCCTGTAACCCTGAAACAAGAATGCGCTTGTTTGTATTTCCTCTTGCCCTTCCTAAAGTTGTTTGCTTTTAATTTTACTTGCAACATAAGTAAAGACTTAAGACATGCTGCTGCTAGACATAAATCTGTGAACTAATTCAGGTATCAGACAGATGTGGAAAAAATATATTGGTAACACACTCAAACCAAAATTTTTCTGTAAAATTTTCATACTGTGAAAATGAATCCATGGTCATGGCTTACTGAAAATGAAAGATGAAGTGTAATTATTTTAAACAAAATACAGAACTGTACAGAGTCCAACTGTACAGCAGTCTGTGGATGGGAGCCACAGCAAGCAGATACTTGACTACTTTTTATTCAAGTTTAATAATCTTTCTGGCATTCCTTCCTCATTATCTTCACTATGGTCCAAGAGCCATTTCCCATGGGCTTCAACAGCACCGAGCTGACTCAGGTTTTCCCAAACCACTTTCCTGTGGTTCCTTCCCTTCCAGCCCCTCCTAGATTTCTGCATTCCTCTCTTTTTGGAGGAGGACACCTTAATTTCATCCTGATACCCCAAATATTTATTTATGATAGCCAGCCTTCACCTCATTGCACTTCCTCCCCTGAGGGGGGGGGGGCACCTCACCAGAACATATACATCTCTTGTTTGTAAGAGGAACAGGGAAGGAACATCAATGACCAAGATGATACCCCAAAGTCCTCAAGAAGAAATCCGCAGCAATGACTCTACCTCTGCCCCCAGCTTTGAACTCACCAACCATTTCCTCCTTTTCCTCCACCTTGCTTCAAGGCTAACAGCCTACTGCCATTAGACTTTGCAACTTATAAGACACAGGAAAGTATCTTTTAAGTAAATTATGGGCCAGTATGCATTGCAGCAGGCTACTCGAGCAGCAAAGAGCTCAAGGATGTGCTGGGCAACAGCTTAGCTCACTGAGTTGGAGGCCACTGCATATTTTTTAAAAGAGGAGGCTTCTCTTCAAGTGCTCAGCTACCAATTCAAATACCAATGGCATCCTTCTCCAACCAGCTCAGCTTTCATAAGCAGAACAGTAAATTCCCATGATCTCATGCCCAGTCTATTGTCCGGAAAGCAACAAGTAAACGTGGCAAGTCAGCCATTTCATAAACATTATTTTGAACATTTGAGCATTATTTACAGAAAGGTTAAGCTTATCTAGAAGCATGAAGTTTTAACCCAGAAGATATAAACACAAGGTCCAACAATATTTAAAAATATTACTTTCAGGATTTAAAAATGACCACGAGAACATCAGAGGGGTTTGCAGGAATGACTGCAGTTATTTCTCCAACGATCCCAAAGGGAATAAAACTAGAAATAAATCTCCTGTCAAAAGGCACTGGGATGGGATGACAAGCCTACAGAGAGTAGCCCTAGAACAAGCACAGCAAACACGCCCGGGGAGGAGTTTGCTGTGTGACTGTTAAATCATTGGCATCTCCAAGTCTGAAAAAAGGGCTCCAGACTGTATTTTGTGTGGCACTCATTGACTACAACCCAGGTACTGATCTCAAGCTCATTTCCAATGGATATCAAATGCTTAACAAAAGCTTGTGAACAGCTAATAACAATTTCTCTGATTCAGCTGGGGAGTGACTGAATGGTTGAAGGGCTCCATATTCTTTATTTTTATTATTTATTTTTTTATTCTTCAAATTATGTTCCTCTTCATACATAAAAATATTTTAATTAAAGTAACCAAATATAGTCACTTCAAATAGAACTCACAGCTTCAGTCAGAATTTGGACCAGGAAACACAGACTGGAGTCCTTCCAACCTTAACCATGTGAACTAAAGCAAGTCTCCATCACCCTACTTAAAACAGCTGCCCTCGTGTTTGTGGTAACAGCCGGTTACCGGCTGCAGTATAGTGGGATCATTTGACTGGACCACCATTCCAGGGAGTGCTAATGGAGACAGCCCATATATTCATACCTCAACTGGGCACACAAACGGTCTTCACCAGGCAGGAGGTGATGCAGTAATGCCTAAATGTTTATGGGTACCTTCTCTTAACAGTTTGCACTGCTTTTAGGGAACTGTTGATGAAGAGGACGTGTTGAGAAGATCCGTCTGTGGGAAAGCTGTTCCGTAACAGCTCATTGCACGTGCTGTTACATCTTTCTCCAGCACATCTGGTACAGAGCCATTGCCAAAGACAGAAAACAAAGTGAATTGAAACACTTATCCCACGCGAAGCAGCCCATGCTTTTAACAGTTTAGATAAATCATGTTTACTTGTTTCCACCAAAGAGTGGCTGCTGTTTTGCTCACTGAGTATACATGAACAGAAGAACTTGTGTGAGAAACGGGTTC